GCTGCGCCTCGGACTGGAACTAATTGCGCGGACTTGAAATCCCGTCCAGTCCTCATTGTCGGACTTGAAACATTACTTTCAAGACCTTTCAATGCGGTTGCACACTCCAATAAAACATAGCTGGCTCTGAATAAAATTCTCTCTCAATAGACCCCTTGCAGTTCATGGGAATGCAGCTCCAACTGGAGGACAAAACAATAGATTCTAGTTCCCAAGAGGATAAAAATCTTTTGTTTTGTCCTCCAGATGAAGCTGTTTTGACGTCACATGCAAGGGGTCTATAATGGATCCACCCTGCCAACAGCGCCAATTCTCTGAATATAAACATTTGCGCCTTGTACTCCATGAGGGCTAGAGGRCTAGAGTTCTATATATAGCCTGCGTTAAGTCATTCCTAGCTGGGGATAGCGCATGCACAATGCAACTAGTCAAGATCCCTTTAATACTGCATCAATGACCCCAGCAGACTTGCCTGATTGGTTGGAACGAACAATAGGCTCTATGGTTTATGCTGAGCCAGCCAATAGTCTCCTTCACGGATACCTGCGCCATCTTGAAAGGTAGCCGTGCCTTWACATGGAAGCGAGACAACCGTTGAGCGTRCAATGAYAGATACCTGTGAATAATTRTCTGTAGRTGTGAAAGAAGGYTTCTATCATTGCACACTCARCRGTCGTCTMGCTTCGATGCAAAGGCAYGRCTACCTTTCAAGATGGCGCAGGTAACCGTGAAGGAGAMTATTACAYAAGCRATGAGACCTTACCAAGTATCGATTCTCTATAAACTAAGTAAGTACGAACCTGATCGTTGTGCCCTTTTCTCATTTCTAAGACACCGAGGTTATTATATGCCTCTGGATGGTCATTCTGAGCTGCCAAAGCCAGTCTAAAACACTGATAAGCTAAAGCCATATCACCAATACCCTGRAATTCAAGAAATCTCAAGTTTTATTTTAAAGAAACTCAATCGCACAATCATCAGCGAGTACAAAATCATTGAGTCTGTGGCCGAAATTACTGAGTTTTTTTTAACATTAGCGATCACTTCTAAATGCAATTCTAATGTCTTTCCGCATGTAACGTTTCGCCGACGATTGTTCATTTGAGTTTGTATAGAGTAGTGAGATGAGTTGACTACTGTACATAATTGTTCGAATCGCATCAGTTTTTGTGCGAAAACCTGAATGGTATCGAAAAATAGGTCCATTTMAGTCATTTGGTCTGAAACACCATCGAAGATTGTTGGATTTGTCATTTCGCTAACTCAATTTTATTTTAAATGTGAAATTGGACGTCTGTAAAGCAATTCAATCAAACCGCACCACTCAACGTTTCTTTTATTCTCTTGTTTGATGAGCAATATTTGATCTCGCCACCAAAATCGTTCGATAACTGATGACGAATTGTTGCATTGTTAAAAAAAATCAAATAAAGGTGTATGACTAAGTTGTTTCCATTACGAAATCGTAATTTTCACCCCTCCGATTTTCGGTTTGTTGCTCAACCTTGTGACAAACCAGTGGGCAAATTTCTGGCCGAGAGCAAACTGGGACTTATGAAATCAATCTAGTCTTGTTCGGAGCAAGAACACCAGGGCCATAAAATAGTGTTCCTTACCAGGGCTACATGGCCTATGTTGTACCATACATCAGGCATAGTCTCATCAGATGCCAGTGTCAAAGCACGCTCAAAGCAGTTTAAGGCCATGTCATATTGCTGAGCATAGAAACAGCAAAGKCCAAGATTGTTGAACAGTTCAGCATTGTACACACCCATCTGTAGTAACCGTCTAGTAAATAAAGTAATACAGTAAATAAATATCTCCAGTCTAGCACCAAGGYTTTTCCCGTTTCGTGACGTCACTGTACTGTGATGCGCATGCGATGAACGCAGAGGTYGAATTAGATGGCAAAACTTTTGACTTACGCAGGTTGCATGTGATGGTTGTAGGCAAAARTTGTGACGTCTAATCAAATATTTTATCGGAATTTTCACAAAAATGTAGCTACATGCTTCCTATTTTTCACATTTTTCAATTTTTTTTCACTCTTCAACAAAATAGACTTTTACTGTCTTGGGAAATCTTGAGATTGCAGTGATGAAAAAGGACCCGCCTCACACTGTCCCCTGTCCGGATCTGACCCTGCTGAAATATTGATTCTGTTCATGTTTGGGACCGTTATTTTTTGCCTTGTGAGAGCTTGTCGTGCAACAACAGACGGGTTGTGAAAATCATGAAACATTGACGTTAATTAACTGAAACTTCATATAAATAATTGGGGGACAAGTGAAGRGATTTTGTACATTATAATTCTTGGACTTTCTAAAGAGCCTCGGCTTGAATGACACTGATTCCTTTAAAAATGAGTTATCAACTGTACCACTTGCCAATGCTCTGGTGATTACACATGCTCTACAACTGACCTGTAAAATCTAAGTGCAATTTCTGGTTGATCTGTATAAAAGTGGTTTGTTGCAATACATGCAATGGCTTCTACATGAGTGTTGTCAAAATGAAGGACATCTTTATAATACTTGACAGCATTGTTCATGTCTTGTAGCTCTTCATATATACGTGCTATTCCAGTCATCAGGGTTGTTTCTCCAGAAAACTTGTCTAATCCCTGGTGAGATAAGCTTGATGTTGGTAATAAGATGGGAGACAGGCATGGCCATGAATGACTATTTTATTGAATCAGTTGTGTAAAAAGATAAAAAAAAGTATGTGAAATAACTTACTGACGTTTCGGACGTTAATCCTTCGTCGGAGTAAAGAGATGGAACTGATTTCAAATACTTTTTTTACGGCGTTAAATTTATCTTTTTACACAACTGTTTCTTTAGAAACACCGACGCAGCTCACACTAGTTTAYCGCTAGTTCCCACTATTTTATTGAATGTCTTACATCAATTGAAACATGGCATGTGAAGGGCAATATAACATAATGCATTTTTATGATGAGAAAAATAACACGCAAATAGCATCTAGTAATGCTAATAACGTTTGTTAATTTTGAGGGAATGTCAGGAATTTGAAGTATTTTCACGAAATGACTGCTAACTATTTTTTCCTCCTTTGTGCTTCCTTTGTAACGGTCATCTTCGCCAGTTGGGACCTCTTGACTCCCAAAAAGGACAGGAAGCCCGTTATTCTTAGTGATGCCTGCGGAGGAGGCTAGAACATCACATTGTCTATCAATCGCCCATGTAAGAGAATCCAGAGAACTAGAGGATTCCGGATTCCAAGCGCTGGATTCGGGATTCCGAAACATTGGATCCCGGATTCCAAGCCTTGGGATTCCGGATTCCAAAGAATTTTTGTTTTCGATTCTGGATAATAAATGGCGTGATTTTCAGTGTCTTTTTTTTCCTGACAATTTTATATTCAGCGTCAGTAGGCTGCGCAGGGCGCCGGCAACGCAAGGTAGCGCGTCACTAATTTGCACTGCTGTTTAACAAACTACGTATATGAAGTATAGTAAAGTACAGCATATCAGTTGGATGTACGTTCTCATCTCTAGACAGCTAGATTTTCACTGATAAAAGCARTCTTCCTAACTATCCAGATTCTGGATTCCAAATAGCTGGATTCCGGATTCCAGGATAGGGATTCCGGATCCCAAAGCTGTATTTTTACTGGATTCCGGATTCCGGATTCTCTTACAAGGGGCGATATCAACCACAGAGTAATTTTAAAAACRGTGGATGAGTGACTCCTCATCTGTGGAAAAATCTGTTGGACTGGTGCATCAAGATGCTAGACAGTATAGAACATTTTACCACTTTTTAAATGGGTCCATATACCTTTTTGAATGTATCAATTGCAGTAATAGGCTGGTCGAGTCGTCTGTAAACTTTACCAAGATACAGAAAAGTATCAACAGTTTCTGTGTCTCTCAAGGCAGATTTGAGCTGTTTTTCTGAGTCTCTGAACATACCAAGTCTTAGAAAGAAATACCATGGTTTATTCAATGGGCAATATGCATGATAAAACTGTGTTAATATGAGTTTAATTGATTGATAACCAATGCATGTACCTGTAATAACATTTTGCCAACTGTACTTTCCACCACCAGTCTTTAAATTGTGCTTCTTCTGTTGCCTTGGATGCAAGTTCTAACGCCTGCAAGTATTTACAATGAAATGAGAACCAGAAAGTTATTTGCAAAAGTTTGCAGGTATAATTATAGGCCTTTTGCATGAAATGTCACATGGCACTAAATCCGCAACACTGGATGTCAAAAGATTTCAAGCAACCTCAAAAACAAAAGAAACATTGCCCATCAAGTCTTTGTTTTGAACAATCCCAGGTGGGTCTCCTAATATTTATGACCATTCCATGCAAAAGGCCTATTTTGCCAATGACAGTGTATACAAATGTACAATATGCTAAGTAGTGCAATGCAATAAATATAAATATGTACTAGACAATACTCACATTTCTGACGTCATTTTCATGATGGAAGATGTAATCAAAGAGGGGCTGAAATTGAAGATTATTTATCGTATATTTATATTCGTTGTTACTATCAGTAAAATCTGATATTTATCATCAATGTTATAGGCAATAATTATGTTATAGTCTTTTTTTATTATGGAAATCTCCCTTGTTGTTGTTGTTGGGAACTCCAATGGGAGAGAATCTGCTAGCAGGGAAATGTGATGCAGACTATGTTTCAGTAAACATCATTTTTTGCACATTTGTGTTTTCTGTTGCATATTATTACAGAATATCTTTATTTATAAACTTGCACCAAACAATGCAATATGTGACATGATTATAATTTTACCAGTACCTTTGCAAGGTTGGGTCTTTGTGCATATTTTGAAAGATTGAGTTTGGAAATATTAATGAATGGTCCATCAGGTTGAGCCAGCATGGATGCCTTGGAAATGTTAMAATTTATAAATAGTTACAATCATGAATACATATATCAGAAATTAAAGTTTTCAATTTAAAGTGTAAGAAGTGGTAGGAAGCATTGTCAATCAGCAAACTATGAACAAGGGTGGCAATTTATTTTCATTGTGAAATTGTCAATGTGTAAATAATATTATTGCAAGTAAAATAATATGCAAATGATTAAAAATATCATGCAATTTCTTAGCTACATGTAGTTTAATAAAGAACAAAAGGTTGTATGAACAGTGAATATAATAAGCATAAATTCTAATGGATACATTCTCATCCAGCAAATCAATGCTGTGAATATAACCTTGTCCACTCTTCATAAAACCAGACACTTGTTCACAGTGAGCAGCTAGTGTTGGGGTTAATGAGCTTTATAACAAACCTTGGAGTTGGTTGGCCRTATTGTATCAAATTGTACTTACTGTTCCCATTCTGACATGTCTTCCTGACGCACTTGTAACAGGCCTTAACAGAAACAATTCAATTCATTATACTTGATAATTCATTGTATAAAAACTTTAGAAAATGTCATACAAATACATTATAAAGAGAGAGTCAGAAGTAGTGTTATGTTTCCCCTTTGTTTGAATTGTACAGTATGATGAACCTGCTGATTGGCTGATTGTCATAAAAAGAATTGACTCTTAATATGGTAGGGATTTGAGCCAGTAGGTTAGTAGTGCAGCTATGTTTTAAAACCTCCTCCCCAGGCAGRAAGCCTCTGCCCGTCCGCCCTGTGACTGTCATACCTGTGAAGGAGACTAGTGCTATATACTAGGCTTGTGCAGTTAAATTATTGCAATTATGACATCCAACAAAGACTTTAATCCATGTCCTGAACTAGAACAAGCTATTTGCTATCGCTCACAATATGTCAATCGCTAAATTTAAATCTTAGTYCAAGATGCAGTCTTGACYTGCAGYTGTTTACCTGGCAGTYTGTGCRGTTCTTGGGGTTCGTATTGCTTGTTCCATYGTTCCTGGTCGACCACTTTGAGTTCCTGGTCTTATAAATCCAGTGACAGGTCTTCCAGACTGTGACATWGGCCTTCAAAATAAACAGACTGTATTGAAAATAGGACTTTCCATTAAAACAAATCCATTCCACAGTGGTCAGTACATGTGGATAGYCTTAGTGAATAACTGTCAATCTTGAAAATTGATATATTTACTGGGACTGGAAGACTGACGAAATGTGSAAACACAAACAGTCAAAAAGTGTGTAATATACATCATGTACATAATATGTGATTTAATACTTAATAATAAGATATACCTAACACCTTGAGATGGGCCACCACTACTTGTTCSTGGCTTTTTCAGTGATGTCCCTGGCCCTATAATTGAAGAACTCACTAGTAAGTTACAGTAGGAAAAGCAAAAAACAAACAAACAAACAAAAAAACAAACAAAACAAAACTCCAAATACTCATAGCCCATAATGGTTTGGACAGTATAATTATAAGAGACTTCCAGTTACAGTTTCCATGAAAAAAAGATCTTAGACAATTTGGCTAATGATCATTTACGCAGAACTCAATGGTGGGTCTCCTTGCTGGCAGATCTTTGAAATCCAAATCTAATGTTATTGTTATTGTATATATTGACYATGGATTTAACTTGATGTTTGTCCATATTGTGAATCTTATACCAAACAAAAACCTAATACTATATAAATCTACAGTAAGCTTATGTATGAGTCAATTCCAAAGGTGCCCATCGTGTACTTTAACGATGAGAAATCACGATATAAAAAGCAACAAAAACACTCTAAAACTAGCGTACAAAAAGTGAATTATGGGGCGGGCATTTGACCACTCATTTGCTTTTACTACTGTAGGTATTTGACTGTCAATTTTGCCCATATGGTGGGGAATTTGACCAATTTTTTTCCAAAAAGTAAAATGCCCGGGGGTTCGCCCGGGGGGGGGGGGGGGGGGGGGCAGCTTTGGAATTGACTCATACATAAATACCACTAAATACTGTTAAATTATGCTAATTCTATTGTTTTCTATTGTTTATAAACACTATTTTGTAGTACATAGTGGAAAGTATTGCACACATTTAATGTGGATCAATCTAGTGGATCAATTTTATTCAGGCCTTTCAAAGCCATGTTATTGTTAAGAGTATCGATGTCGAGGCTTACTTGGAAGTTGAGCGACAGCGTTGTCATCCATCAACATTTCTGCAATCCCTTCTTCATCGACATCGACTTCATCTACGTAAACTTGTTCGGTAAAAGCTCGTGTTTTGAGGCACCAGGCAGCCTAGAATCACCAAATTCAGATATTTGTTTACAACGACCATGACAACTAAACGAGACCGAACAACATGAAAATTTTGTCTTTTCTAAAGCGAGGATGAGCCTTACCTGATCGTAAGGGTTCTTTTTGAGTAGTTCTGTACATACTTCAATACATTCGTCCAGTTTTCGTCGACGATAAAGACTTAAAGACAGAAAGAGAGGATCCATTTGCATCGGCACCTGTACAGTCGCCGCCATGATGGTTCCCCAGTGGACTGACTAAAAGAACCGCGGGCTCAAAATATTGCACAGCATACTAAAACAAAGAAAAGAGGGGGAAAAGAAAAGAAAAACAAAAACAAAACAAAACAAAACAAACAAAAAAACAAACAAAAAATGGATAAACATGGAATCAACTGAAGCCACCAGGGGCCAGTTGTACGAAGGGTGAATAAAGTTTATGAACTAGTTACATGTACTTTTATTTCAGTTTATGCTACTATAGATTTTGTATGAATTTTATCCGATCTGCTGACTAAACTAACAATTTTGGTGAAAAAACCCCTCACCTTTTTACAAACAAACAAACAAACATTACAAAAACAAAACAACAGCAACAATAATAATAACAATAAAAAGATCAAATTCCCTCAGAAGTTCATGTAACAATTACTGGTTCCCCTTTCGCAAGTTGCCAAAGCGAGGCAACTGTCAATTTTCAGCTTGTTTATTATTTTGCAATGTCAGGAAAAATTGTGGTTAAGTAATGGCCCAAGTAAGAACTATAGAAGCAAACGGCAAAGGAAATGCAAGAAGGTGCTAATTGTGCATTGTATAATCCATCCATCCCATTGGTTTAACCCTTTCCCCACGGCCATCGGTATCATCAGTACCACAGGAGTGATGACTCCAAAAATTATAATTTMCCAAAATGGCTAGATGCCTCTGAAAAACTTGCTCTTACAAGACAACAAGACAACAAGTTCAATATTCCAATTAAAAGCATGTCTCGGAAATCAAGTTTTTAGGTCGAATAAGTCTTTTGTCTTGACGTGGATGCTCAATTCCGAATTTTGCACTTCCTGGGACAACAGCGAAAAGCTCACTTTTTTGACTTAATTTGCAACGTGAAATTCATGCTTTTCTAGCACAATATCGACATTTTTGAAGAGCTACATCCTCCTATTCTTGCATTTAGGGATTTTTATTCGGAATAATTCTCTACAGGCAATACAAGAGCCGCACCTTTGACGTCCACCTCGACAAACTAGCATTTCTCGAATGCACGACCCAAGTGCACCCTGGGAATATTGACATCTATGAGACAAGGAATGGCCAGTAATCTTACTTTAGTAATTTTTTTATAAGTGCCAAGTCACTCGCACCTACAGGCAAAATATTGCATCGACTGCATTCTTTGGATGTTAAAACTTGCCAAATTTACCTTGGTAGGTTCCGAAATCTGCCACAGAATGACTAGGGAAACGACCTTTCTCTAACGACAACAATTCAAAGAGACCTTCGCTTTGTTGCCGTCTTCTTCGAAAAATCGCTTTCCACCTCTGATTTCTTCCAGAAGGCTGTCTTTGCCGCCTAGTCGAGCTTGATGATGCAGTCCTAGGGGCTTCTATGGCAGCAAATGACTTAAAAAATGCACTTATAAACCTTTTTTTGGCGAATTTGAGCTCGAGTGCTGGCTAATCTAGCGAGGTGTCTCAAATTCGCCGTGCGTTATTGAAATTTGCATTTCCTGAGGTATTTGAATTGACATTAGTTTGATTGACAGCGCCTTATTTGGAAGTTAAGCAATTTATGGAAGTCTAACACACAAAAAAACTACAAAATTGACAAATTTATCACCGTAGGGAATGAGTTAAACTCAAAAATCAGTGTCACGTGACCCACGTTTTCGACTACTTGGTTTAAAGCTTAGGTTATAGGGTTAATGTTGGCTAGGTTTTGATTCGTTGACCTAGGTTAAGATTAGGGCAAGGGTTAGGTTTTTACTTAGGGTTTGGCTTAGGTTTGAGACTCGAACTAGGGTTTTTGGCCAGAGTTAGTCACGTGACCAGCTTCTCCCACCCAAATTTGAGACCATACCTGACAACTGTACTGACACACAAACAGACTACAATACTTATTGCGAACTGGCTATGCGTATAGGCTTAGTTCACTACCCCCCATACTTTCGACTTGGTGCATTTTGCTGAAAATACTCGAAATGTTATATTTGGGGAGTACCCACCCCATAACTTTGACCTGTTAGATTTGTTTGTGCTCAAATGCCTTCATTAGCATTATATATATTAAGAAATATTATCCAGATAAGTTTGAACTGAAATAGCTACTGCGCTGTCATGAAGTATTTTTTTTATTAACCCTTTCCCCACGGCCATCGGTATCATCAGTACCACAGGAGTGATGACTCCAAAAATTATAATTTCCCAAAATGGCTAGATGCCTCTGAAAAACTTGCTCTTACAAGACAACAAGACAACAAGTTCAATATTCCAATTAAAAGCATGTCTCGGAAATCAAGTTTTTAGGTCGAATAAGTCTTTTGTCTTGACGTGGATGCTCAATTCCGAATTTTGCACTTCCTGGGACAACAGCGAAAAGCTCACTTTTTTGACTTAATTTGCAACGTGAAATTCATGCTTTTCTAGCACAATATCGACATTTTTGAAGAGCTACATCCTCCTATTCTTGCATTTAGGGATTTTTATTCGGAATAATTCTCTACAGGCAATACAAGAGCCGCACCTTTGACGTCCACCTCGACAAACTAGCATTTCTCGAATGCACGACCCAAGTGCACCCTGGGAATATTGACATCTATGAGACAAGGAATGGCNTCTTTGAAATCCAAATCTAATGTTATTGTTATTGTATATATTGACCATGGATTTAACTTGATGTTTGTCCATATTTTGAATCTTATACCAAACAAAAACTTAATACTATTAAGTTATAAGTTAAATCTACAGTAAGCTTATAGAGTGTACAAACACTAAAACTGTGCAACATAAATACCACTAAATACTGCTAAATTATGCTAATTCTATTGTTTTCTATAGTTTAATCAACACTATTTTGTAGTAAATAGTGGAAAATATTGGACACATTTAATGTTTGCACTCTAGTGGATCAATTTTATTCAGGCCTTTCAAAGCCATTTTATTGTTAAGAGTATCGATGTCGAGGCTTACTTGGAAGTTGAGCGACAGCGTTATCATCCATCAACATTTCTGCAATCCCTTCTTCATCGACATCGACTTCATCTACGTAAACTTGTTCGGTAAAAGCTCGCGTTTTGAGGCACCAGGCAGCCTAGAATCACCAAATTCAGATATTTGTTTACAACGACCATGACAACTAAACGAGACAGAACAACATGAAAATTTTGTCTTTTCTGACGCGAGGATGAGCTTTACCTGATCGTAAGGGTTCTTTTTGAGTAGTTCTGTACATACTTCAATACATTCGTCCAATTTTCGACGACGATAAAGACTTAAAGACAGAAAGAGAGGATCCATTTGCATCGGCACCTGTACAGTCGCCGCCATGATGGTTCCCCAGTGTACTGACTAAAAGAACCGCGGGCTCAAAATATTGCACAGGCCACTAAAACAAAGAAAAGAGGGGAAAAAGAAAAACAAAAGAAAAAGAAAGAACAAAACAAAACAAAACAAAAAAAATAACACACAAAAAAAAATGGATAAACATTGAATCAACTGAAGCCACCAGGGACCAGTTGTACGAAGGGTGAATAAAGTTATCAACTAGTTACTTTTACTTATAGATTTATATCTAGATTTTGTATGAATTTTATCCGATCTGCTGACTAAACTAACATTCATCCCATGATAGCACCAGTCACCCTTCGTACAACCAGCTCCAGGCTTCAAAAATACTCCTTTTGCAATTTTGGTGAAAAACCCCTCTCCTTTTTACAAACTAACAAACAAACATTACAAAAACAAAACAACAGCAACAATAATAACAATAAAACAATCAAATTCCCTCAGAGGTTCACGTAACAACTGGTTCCCCTTTCGCAGTTAGGAAACAAGTTGCCAAAGCAAGGCAACTGTCAACTTTCAGCTTGTTTATTATTTTGTAATGGCAGGAAAATTTGTGGTTAAAAAGAATTAGCTTTGATATTACTTGGCACTCTTGTTCATTTGAGAAATGCTGCCAGCAAACATGTTGCCTGCTTTGGCTTTAACCGCGAAAAGAATTTTTGATTTATTATTTTAATTAGACCATTATAGGCTTTCTACAATATGTTCTGCTTTGAAATGTTACTGAAGCAATTTACGTTACATTTTATACACCCATCATTACACCAGGTGGCAGTTCTAGAAGGTTATGAAGGGGGGATGACTCCAAGATGGAAAATACATTAGATGTATTAGATTTAGGGCTGCGGACAGTTAGTTTCTATCAGATTAAGACTGCTATAGGCGTTTTACAGSAAGAGTCCCATTCAGATTTAATTTCTTCTTTTATTTTCTTCTATCAAATTATTATCATAATTTCTATTTCTATATTTTTCATCGCCTGAAAAGGGGTTGGCTGGCCAAACTGCAAATTTTTCCTCAGTATAGTCACACACAAAAAATCAAGACAAGACACCGTGCATAAAGTTCAGTCATTAGTGAAAAGACAATATTTTTTCAACAATTGACTGAGCATTATGCACGGCGCCTCGTCTTGGTTCTTATGTGTTTAACTGCCGAGGCAAAATTTGCAAATTGGCCATATTAACACTAAATCTGCACTAATTGAAAATAGTGCCTAACAGACACTTATGCAACATTTGAATTCCTTGTTGGCACTAGAGTGCATGCCAGGTCTAAAAAACACGGATAAAACAAGAGGCTAGGAAAACACAATCTATAACACTGGCATACTAGTAACCAGATATAAATCTATYGCTTTTTGCACTTATGGTTATGTCAGTGTGTGTACAGCCCTAAGAGATACCACAGAGATGCCACAAGGGTCTATGGCACAGATACTGTACTGATGAATCATACTAAACATCACTGACAGAACAAGGTTTTGCCGTAGATCTACTGTTACTACTGAAATCACTAGTGTCAAATTTATCTCATTGTTTCTCTATAACACGATCAATTTTTTTTTCATAATTGATTGTTTCTAGCAGACATTGTCAATCATTCACACAAAAATTGAACATGTGCGTGCAAAAAGACACAACCCAAGGCAAGGTTTTGAGCACAAGTCTAATGATTACCATTATTAAATAAAGCATTATATTGCTGTCTACATGTATGTTCTAGCAAGCACTGTCACCTAAGTGTGCATAAGAGCTTTATGAAAACCTTTGGATCACGAACTACATGTAATGTATCTACTCTTTCTAAACCTAARATTTTGTGAYTTTTCTTTCACTTGCTGATRGTGGGAATCACTTTGAAKYTMTCTTCAYRAAATAGCAGGGCATTTTAGCTTTATTAGACTTGTCAGGAGATTGTTGCCACCATCCTGCGGGAAGAAAAAAAAACATTTTACAGTTTATAGAAAGGCAAACTTGAAAGAAGAAATTAGATTGCTCTATGATATCAGGTGTTTTCTGTGGGAAAAATGTCTACAAGATTATGTATTTTATGACAATTATTTTTTATGCCCACAAAATACAATTTTATTTTTATTACTTGCGGTAAAATTCTTTGTGTTGAAAAAAAAAAAGTATTTTGTACAAAACTCATTTTATGTACCTGTTTATAGCACACACCCTATCACCACCTTCCAGCTTGGCAACTATTTCATCCCTTCATGAAATCAGCTATCAATTYAACTGAAAAGAGAAAGAAATGCTTGTAAAAGAAGACACTATGAAAATACCAATCYGCCAAGTTCTTTGTGACATTTTTCAGGAGCTGGAATAAACAATAYAGTCAAGGGTTGTTTCAAATAGATAATAACTTCACTAGTATCAGTACTGCTCATTTTTAAAGTTTAAAAGTCAGCAGTGATATAATAAAATGAACCTGTAAAGAAACCTCAACAACACAACCATTGATAAAACAAGGGACAACTGAAGGTGAATAAGCTTTTCAAACCGAACGCGTCCACATCACCGATTACTCACTGTTTAGTCACGTGTCCGCCAACWTCCGACTTGATCCGCATCCGACCGTACAATATTACTGCAAAGTAATTCTCAGAGACAAGACAAGAGTTTGCAGTCAGAATCCGTATTCCTTMCCACATGATGTTTGACTCAACTCAGAAAGCACAGAGATAACTGTTTTTAATCATATTTTATTGAGTRGAATGTAATACTTGAAGAATAGTGGAATGTAACACATATTTTTTTCCCTAAAAAAAATCAAACTTGTATTCTAGATTTGAAATGCAGAAAAAAAAAATTTAAACAAGTATTTTCAGTTAATGTTTTTGCTTTACAAGTCAACCCTGCCGTTACCGTCCTCGATAGCCTGAAGGTCAAAGGCTTTTCTTCAGTCCGCAACCGTCAGCTCCGATGCTGTATAACTAACAATCTTGGTAGGCCGAATTGGATACGTCACCCGAACGTCTAATACCTAGAAAATAAAATAGCGAATCCAGCATGTCTCTACGGTGAAGATCAGTCCCTGGTGTTGTCATGAGGAATCGTTCGGTCCTTAGATAGGAGTGATCAAYGGCATGTTTTCTTACCTTCTCACACCATAACCACCTGAACGTGGTGGTCCATAACCTTCATATCCCATCGAGTACCTAATGTGGAAAAATATGTTAGGATTTATTTTTTGCAAATCCAAAAGCTGTGACCACCTAGAATTATTTCAGAGATGTTACTTGAAAAGTGGTTTTCAATGACAAACAAGAAAGCRCAATGAAAAACATTAAATGGACAAACTTTGTGTTTTTTTCTAAGAAATGAAATTATAATTATACTATTTGTGAGCTTTGACATGCTGTTTTTTGGTGATAAATTAGTTTCACTTATTTGAAACGTTGAACTTTTGATCAAATTTGCATGTGAAAATGCACTTAGATGATGGTAAATCTTGCTTCTTATTGGTCAATGAACAATAAGCATTCCCAAAATATTTCTACATGGTCACGGCTTCTCAATTCGCACTGAAAATATTTACATGTGACTTTTATTGTAAAGCCTAGATGCCATTATTTTATCTTGAAGGGATCAGACACAAATAGCAAACATGGACCTCCCTTGAATTGCACCATATTTTGATGACAAAGATAATGGTCACATTCAAAATAACAAAATCTTACTCAGAAGATCTTTGTGCATACCCTCCTCCTGTGCTCTGATAAGGTGGCCCATAATCCCTGCCTTGTGGACCACGCCTATCATAATAACCATCGTAATCTGATCTTGGTGGTGGACGACCATAAGGTTCACGACGTGGACCATAAGAATATGGTGCAGGGCGATCATATCTGCCATAATTACTTCTCCTGTAGCGCCCAGAACTATTTCTTTGTGTACAGTCTTTTGCCCTGGTTGATAAAGAACAAACTTYGTTATATACAACAAAATTATAACATCAGAGGAGTAGGTGTCAGTAATGCTCTTTGACTGGCAAAAACATTTTTTCTCTTGCTATGACCAGGCTCAATAACATTCAGACTGTGCAATAAATTAGCACGTGTCGATCAACAAGGTGCCAACTACCAGTTGAAAATAATTCCACCTGTTAAGGCCCACTTACACTTGCAATTTTTTGCAAGTGTATTTTTTGTTCTCTCACACCTCAAATCGTACGTGTAAATAGCCCCGCGATTGTCGCAGCAATCAAAAATCGCTGCAAGTTGCAGCTAAATTTCAAGCATGTTYGAAATTGCAAGTGTAAATGGGCCTTTATGATTGACAGCAGTCTATTGCTAATATCTTATTTTGGCTGGGCTAGTCATTCAGTGACTCAAATGACAAACTGAAATTTGACTGGACATTAAAACAGCTTTTATGTCCAGACAGTGAAATACAAAATTTCAAAATTGCCAAAATGACCACAAGAYCCATGTAATCAGGTGTTAATTAGGTCATGACCAAAGCTTTCTTTGAAATCCTGTTTTCAAAACTCTCTAGTTCAAAAACAAATCTCTAGTTCAATCCATACATGAATTTGTGAGTCCTAGAATTTTCAGCTAAACATTCTAAATCTTAGAAATATCGAAATATTCTCCCGAACAACATGAAACACAACGATTTTATTATGTACAGTGCAGCTCAGAAACATATGTACATTTGCTCGCGTGCAAATCGCGTTCAGACCGCATCTCATGCTCGCACATTGATCGCGAGATGCTCGCACGTTGATCGCGAAATGAATAACGAAAATCTCACCAGGAAACTTCAACCCCGATTGCCGTTGTAGCATAGTACCTCGAAAGTGAAATTAAATCACGATCAAGGTTACCGTATATCGCGATCAAGTTGCGAACATATCGCRMTYMRGRWAATTCATACGAATTCTAATTGTTATCTTTGATTTTTCTGTAGGTTTGAAGGAATTATCTTTTTACTAAAAAATTACCTCTGATTTTAAAGCCGTTTGTTTCGGGCTTTGAAACGCGAAGTATTCGACGACTAGAATCGATTCCACAAACGTCGATATTGATTATAAGAATTTACAGCTTGCACATCATATTATGCAGTTGGCTTATTACAGTTCAGTTTGCTGTATCTAGTTCATTTTGTTGAAAACTCGGCTGTTTTACTTGAAATTTTCTTTTAGCACTACGACTGTTTTTTGATCAAGACAAAATTAAGCTGCATGTAGACRCATTCGCGATAGTCTTAACTGAAGTGCAATATTTATATTATGCAAGCTTGTCTTAATTGTTTACGTTGTAGGAATTTTAAATAGCTTAAAAACACAACAGTTAGGACATGATTTCATTGAATGTAAAAAACACATGATTTGATATTCTGATTTCCTTTCGGATTCCGTTACTGAACCTTCTACAATTAAAGAAAGAGTTATATATAAGCACAAAAAGTAAGACAACCGGCGATAATTTATTCAGTAATCTTTCTTTATTACATGATTCTGCACAAATAATTATACTCTGTATATTAGCTTATTTTCAACTCGAATAGATTCAAATTGAAGATAAACAAGTCTTATCTTTATGGGTATAAATGTTGACCTTTTCAAGCTTCAGAAGTGATTGATAACACGTTGGAAATCGAGTTGTATTATGTCACGCTTGATTCTCACGTGGTTTGATTCCCGCCAAGTGGAGCGTTTTAATTAAAATAAGAATGATCGATTAAAGTTTATATGGGTAAAGTCACTAAAGTCATTCACGGAAAATATCTTTCAATACTTTTGGGAAACGCAGTGTATTTATAGGAAACTAGACGATCATTGATCGCTTACGTGGGCTTCCTGTAGATGCGACAATGGGTCAGCTGCCGCCATTGAGCTATAAGTATTTCATTTTCACGATACAGTCTTTGTTTGAAATAAGTCAGGACAACCCTAAGCTATTTACTACATCACAATTTTTTACCGAACTGAACTCTAATGAATTAACTTAAGTACCTTGATTTTCTCAGTTTTCAAAAATAGCTAGCCCGACTTTACGCTCTAAGAGCGTCTAGATTATTCAAAATATGCAAATATTCGAAATATGTAAATTTGACCTGAAAGGTTATGTTATATCATAGTTTCGTAGTAGCTCCAGAGATAATAATAAACAATAGAAACGGTACAGTCTTTGCAGTTTTCTAAGTATTATAACTTTGAGTAATATTTTGATCGTTTGAATGATTCAAGAAGTAGTAAGAGCTTTGAGATCAGCATTCTAGGGTTGGTTTCCTTCATTTTCTTGATCACATTGCTTTTCTTGGTCACAAACCAGGTCACAGTAGCTATAACGTGACTTAGATATCGCGATAAGACCACGAGGCCGAATGACATACGAAACAATACATGTCATGAATGAAAAGAAAGTGCTGATTGATTTACTTCGACATCCCCATGGAAACTGAGACTGCAACGCATGCGCTATCGATGCGCTACCAATTTGAAGCTTAATATTCACCACCACCACGACCACGACGAAATCGCCAGTTGCATTTTAGACGTGGACTTCCACAGGAAGCCCACGTAATAACATCAACAAAACATAACAATTCTTTGCATCGTGTTTCTGCATGCGCCTCGCAAAATTGTTTTAATCAAGAATGAATTTATTAGTCTTGTGTAACTTCAAATGCTAAAACACCTAAATAGGMCAAGTATTTACATATAAATAGGATTGCCATAACATGAAATGCACCGAGAATATAACGATAATATTACAAGTCAAGATATTGACTTGCGATTAACTGAAATTGAAACGTTAAGAGAAATTGAAGAAGAGTTATTGCAAGCGGCTGGCCAAGCGTGTTCGCGGCTTCATGGCGTCATAAACAATGAAGACTTGGACCACTTCTACCAGATTGTACGGAACTTCAGAAAATTTAAGACAAAAATGCACTAGCATTTATCTTCTAGAGTAAAACTTCTAACGTAATTCAGAGTTTACATTACGGCGTTGAACTTTCAGGGGTTAGAGCGGAATCAGGAATTATCAGAGTTTTCAGGCATCACGAATCATTGCATGAAATTTTTAGAATCATTTATCTTTGTAAAAAAATATAATATTTAGAAATAACATAAAACGAGTCCTGAATAGCAACCTATATTTGACAATGATAAACGATCATAACAAAAATCTCACCAGGAAACTTCAACCCCGATTGCCGTTGTTGAAGTTAGCATAGTACCTCGAAAGTGAAATTAAATCACGATCAAGGTTACCGTATATCGCGATCAAGTTGCGAACATATCGCGATCAAGGTTACCGTATATCGCGATCAAGTTGCGA